CTCTTAGAAAGGCTGGTTTAGCGTGGTCCGGTGGTTACAACTTCAAGCTTCCACTGCAGAGAGCCTCGGGTTCGATCCCTGGTCATGGAATTAAGATCCAGCATGCCTCACCATGTGGCCAAAAAAAANTAAAAATTCATAGAAGTGGAATATATATGTGTGTGTGTGTGTGTATATATATATATATATATATGAGGAATATTCCAGGATGTCTGGGTGACCTGTGTAGGAAGGGAGGCAGGCCGGGACCCATGTGGATGATGCCAGGTTGTAGAGGAACATCAGAAGTTCAAAAGAAGGTGGCAGAAAAGGTGGGAACGATCCAAAAGTCCATCAACAGACATGGAGAAACACAATGTGGTGTGCAATGGAGTATTATTCAGCTTTCAAGAGGAAGGAAGTTCTGACATGTGCTACAGTATGGATAAACCTTGGCTACTACGCTTGGTGAAATAAGCCAGTCACGAGGAAAAAATTCTGTATGATCCCACTTCCAGGAGGTTACCTGGAGTAGTCAAATTCAGACAGAAAGTAGAATGCTGGTTGCCAGGGGCTGAGGGGAGAGGGGAATAGAGGGTCACTATTCAATGGGCACAAGAGTTTGAGGTTTTTGTTTTAATACTGACATTTTATTTGTCTGCACCGGGTCTTAGCTGCAGCACCAGGGATCTTCCATCTTCTTTGCGGCATGTGGGATCTGGTTCCTTGACCAGGCATCGATCCCCTGTCCCCTGCATTGGGAGTGCAGAGTCTCAGCCACTGGACCACCAGGGAAGTCCTGAGTTTCCATTTTGTAAATAAAAAGACTTCTGGGGCTGGATGGTGGTGATAGGCACTCAAAAAAATGTGAATGTTTTTAGTTATCACTGAATTGTATGCTTGAAAATGGTTAAGATGGTAGATTTTATGTTATGTATATTTTACATTGTAAAATGTATTTAAAAACAGAAAAGACTAGCAGCTGGCAGGTAATGATATGGCCTGGGTTTCAGGAGGGAGTACAGGGCGGGTAGGAAGGATTCACTTGGCTGCTGGCCTCCAAAAATAAGAGCAGCATTGTTTTCAGGGTCCAGGCCTAGAGCTGTGGGTTCCACCTAGTAATTGCTGAGAGGCAAGCAGGTGGTGTACAGAACTTTGCTCCAGTTTTCTTTGGAAATACTGAATGCAATTTAAATTAATGAAGGACCTTAAAAATCTTTTAAAATATCTGAATTTGGAAGTGCAGTTAGAGCCAGGAACCTGCAGACACTCACTTGTGACCCCGGCCATCTCCCCACTGGCCTTACTCACATGATATGGACACTTCAGACAATCTGATCCAAAGAAATTAAACCACAGGTTGTGTTTGCATGGCTCTGGCAGGTGGAGAGTGTTATTTAGCCTGAGATCGGCAGAGCTGGGCTTCATCTAACAAGCCTACATCTTCTCTGACTCTAAATGAGGAAGCACTGGAGAACCCACCTGAAACTTGGTTGCACGTTCAGCTACATCAACTCTTTTGTTGCTGTCGCAGCCTGCCAGTCTCCTCTGCCCATGGGATTTCCCAGGCAAGAATACTGGAGTGGGTAGCAGTGTCCTTCTCCAGGGGATCTTCCTGACCCAGGGATTGAACCTGAGTCTACTGCATTGGTAGGATTCTTTCAATTGAGCTACCTGGTAAGCCCTGATATCTGGTTAGGCACTCAACAGAGATTTGGAGATTGATCTAGTCTCACAAATCAATGGCTTTTAGCCCCCCTCCAACAATCTGAAAAATGGAACCAGCTCCAGGTCTTTCCAAAATTCTTGGGCACCCTTCATCCAAATGGGATAAACGTTGAGCCCAGCTCCCAAAGCCCCTGGCCCAGGGTTGCTTTGCCAGCTTCGGCCAATGCTAACCTCTCATCACCATGGTTCCCGGAACTAAGCAGAGCACAGACCTTCTCATGGAGAGCCTGGTCCTCCCATGGAGCTTAAAGGTCACCCTCCTGACTGAGGACTTGCAGAATCTACCACTTTCAGAGCGAAGTGAGTGAAGTCGCTCAGTAGTGTCCGACTCTTTGCGACCCCATGAACTGTAGCCTACCAGGCTCCTCCCTCCATGGGATTTCTCAGGCAAGAATCCTGGAGTGGGTTGCCATTTCCTTCTCCAGGGGATCTTCCCAACTCAGGAATCGAACCGGGATCTCCCGCATTCCAGGCAGACACTTTAACCTCTGAGCCACCAGGGAAGCCAAACTTAAAAAAAAAAACAAAAAAAACCCACCAAGTGAACTATGAGTGTGAAAACGTCTCACCAGCATCACCCAGAGGAAAACTATCTGCCATGCACTCTCAGGCTCTCCTCTTACAACAGTCGATTCTCCAACCTAAATATTTTTAATCCTCAGGTGGACATGGATGTTGGAAGATCAAAACTTATGCCTCGGGACTTCCCTGGCGATCCAGTGGTTAAGACTCCCTGCTTCCATTGCAAAAGATGCAGATTCAATTCCTGGTCAGGGAACTATGATCCTGCATGCTGCATGGCTTGGCCAAAAAAAAAAAAGTTTAATTAATTAATTAAATAAAAGAAATAATTATATTCAAAAAACAGCAAAAGAACCCCCACAAAACCCCACTTCCTCTAGAGGCACAGAGGAAGTACAGATACTGGTCATAGAAGCCTACATTTTTATTCAAGCTCTTTTCAACCTTTCTTTTTATGCTTGTTTCCTTATTTTGCTTCATTTTTAATTAAGGAGGAAATGGCGAATATCTCTGATCACTTCCACTGCTGGATCTTGCTGGGCTTCATACGTCTCTAAGGACAGACTCTTTGAAAAAGGAAGAGAGAGCACAAAATGTGTCAGGGAAATGGAGTTCCTATCATTTCCCTGAGAAATTTTGCCTTTTAAATGGAGTTCTACCATCGGTTCCGTGAAAGATGGTTTCCTTATTGTCATTTATTACCCATGACAGGCAGCAACACTGCCTCCGAATCAGCCTCCATTCACAATTATCCAGCCGAGCCTGCAAGGCAAGAGGAGGCTCGAAACGCCTGCCTTCTGGAGTGCTGTTCCCAAAGGCAACAGTTCAAAGCAAACCTCTATGAACTGGAACGCTGATATCTACCGAGTTCTCTGGACAGAAGATTCTACTGCTCTTACAGTGATACAGGAAACTAACACGGAATTACGTGCACTCCAGTCACTAGGAAGTTCAGCAACATGGTCTATACGTGGACACTTTATATGCCCACCCATATGGGATCACCACCACACACACAACCCACCAGACAATCAAAAGATGTGCTTCCTTTCTAGCAAGGGTCCTCCCTGTTAACCTCCTCCCAACAAGGAAATGAAAAAAATAAAACTTTCACTAAAAATGTAATAAAATGGGACAAAATATAAGACATTATCAAAATTAAGCAAGTTAGATGCACTACAGTCATTCCTTGGTATCCTAGGGGATTGGCCCCAGGACCCCTGTGGATACCCAAATCCATGGGTGCTCAAGTTCCTTAGATAAAATGGCACAGTATTTGCATATAACCCATGAATATCCTCTGTATAGTTTAAGTCCTCTCTAGATCACTTATCATACCTAAGTAAATAGTTGTAAATATATTTACAATATAAACCTATGTATAGGCAAGATCTCGAAGGTATTTAGGGTTCAGTCCCACACCACTGCAGTGAAGCAAGTATCACAATAAATTGAGGCATGTGCTTTTGGTTTCTAAGTGCACACAGAAGTTATGTTTACACTATACTACAGTCTATTAAGTGTGCAACAGCATTACGTCAAAAAATGCATCTCTTAATCAAAAAGTACTTAACTGCTAAAAAAGGCTAACCATTATCAGAACCTTCAGTGAGTCATATTCTTTTTGCAACAGTAACCTCAAAGATCACGGATCACCATAATAAACATTAGTAAAGAAGCTTAATATACTGTGAGAATGATCAAAACGTGACACAGAACTATGAAGTGAGCAGATGTCAGTGAAAAAATGGTGCTGATAGACGTGCTCCAACAAGGGTCGCCCCAAACCTTCCATATGTAAGAAATGCAGTATCTGCAGAACAGAGCAAATAGAGATCTGCCTGGAAATAAATGGACATGGCAAATTCAAGTGTTGCTTTTAAGAACTTTCTGGATTATTTTTTCCCAAATATTTTTGATCTGAGGTTGGTTAAACCTGCATGTGTGGAATCTGTGACCACCGAGGGCCAACTGCACAGGATACTAACCCCTAGGCCTATTCACAGATGTGACGTAACAATGACACGTGCGTATGTGGTCAGTCGCGTCAGTCGTGCCTGACTCTCTGACTCTATGGACTGTAGCCCGCCAGGCTCCTCTGTCCGTGAGATCCTCCAGGCAAGGATACTGGAGTGGGTTACCGTGCCCTCCTCCAGGGGATCTTCCCAACCCAGGGATGGAACCCGTATCTCTTACATCTCCTTGCCTTGACAGGCGGGTTCTTTACCACTGACACCATCCTTGCCAAGAGGGCTCACAACTCATTTACAGCAACATAAAAATCTTAACCTAATTGTGCATCTTTAACTATCTGTACTGATTTTTTGTCTACATACTTTTTGTTTCATGCATTTTACAGCAGAGGGCGGGGGTTCAGAAGAGATAATAGAAGAAAAAAAAAACTGAGGAAAGTAAAGGAGATTTAGAGAAAGAAAGCGATATGAGAACAGCAGGAAAACCCAGACTGGAGACTGGAGGATTCTGGGAGGGAGGAGGCCCTGGGGCTGGTCAGCTGGCTGAGATGACCTGTTGGACAGCTGCACCTGAGACGGGGGCAGGGCGTGCTGGGGGACAGACGGGGAAGACAGCCGGCCGGGGCATCTTCAGTTTCTGGTCCATGGAGACGCATCACCCATCAGGCACACAGCATTGGTGCTTCAATCTGTTCTCTGAGCATGAAAATACATGCACTGTGCTTCACAGACAACCCGGAGATGACAGAAACGGAGTCGATCACATCATTATAATATAAAAATGAACATACCTCGGCGTGGCAGATTCTAATACGATTTTAATAATGTTGACAAGGAGCCAAATTACAAATGCCCCAGAATTTGGAGTACAGAACCTCAGAGACAAAATAAAAACTCATAAGAGGAGAGTCTTTTTAAACGATCACAATCTTTAGGATGAAGAAACCATTTTCTCAATGAAGGTACTGAGCGCATTTACTAAGAATTAAATGAGATTAAAGACAAGGTGCACTGTGACCCATTCCCCAAACGGCGGTGATTAGGAAGGCGAGAGTGGTGCCGATGATGAAGGCAGGGCGCCAGGCGCACATGCGAGCTCGCGTCACCAACAGACCTGAACGAAACAGAAACCTGCTTCCGTTTCACTGATGGGCAAGGAGGGCAGCCTTGGGAATGAACCGTGGTGCACACGGGTAGCAGGTGCGTGCCCGCCCTTCCACCCACACAACCCCCCACCCTGCAGGGCATGGACCAGGGTGAGGCAGGGAGACAGGCTGCCTCCTCCAGGACAACTCGTTACTCAGAGACGCTAAGGTAAGAGCCCCGCATCCCCCACAAACCAAGAGTGAGGAGCTGGAACAACAGGGGTCCCCAGCCCCTAGAGGGACAGGGTGCCACCACCCCAGGGGTGGCAGGACCGCAGAAGTGGAGAAAGAACCCCCATCCTCAGCGACACTCATCACCCGTCAGGATGAAGGTGCAGCACCCCCAGGACTTCTGGGTGGGGGGGCTCCCCTCAACTCTCCAGAGCACATGCCTAGATGCTACTGTCCTATGGGGCTCTCTCTTCCCCCGGAGGGCATCACATGGTTTGCTTCATCTGGGCAGGTCAGGGTGTCTGCTCATCTCGGAAGGAACACAACTGCAATTATTTGTTTGTTGCCAGCACACGTGGTGTTGAAGAGTGGCTGTGAAACAGTGGAGGACACACGGCTGACCCCCTTCTGCAGAGCCAGCAGTGAACCAAGAGACAGGATGGGGGGCGGCGCCTTTACTTTAAACCCTAAATCAAGAGTTTCAACAGATGCAGATTCCATGAGACAGGAGGGGTGAGTTGGGAAGACTTGAGCTTTTATACTCTTTAGATGTCGACTTTGGCCATCCCAGCTATTAAAAAGTTATGTGTAACTTCAAGATGAGACGCATTAGCAGCTTCTTAGAAGAGGATAATCCCAATCTTCAGGAGATTTAATGAGATGGCGCTCACTGCAGCTTCTGACTCGGCCTGCTGTTAATTGAATCAAAGTCAATGACAATCTGGCTGCACTTTGGTGTGAATTTCCTAAAAGTAAGAAACAAAACATAAAAAGACATTATCCAGTGATGAGTTAGAGCCATTTGTTTACTTTAGCTTAACCTACATTTTCTGCAGGGAGGAGGGGAAAAAAAGTTCCCTGGGATTCACTTGATATTTTGTCTCTATAGGAGCCAATTAGAGTGCACCATAAGAGAGAAACAGGGACAGGAAAAGACTAAAGACAAAAAAAGATGCATGGGGTGGCCTGGTTTGTGTGTTCGTCCGCTGGCTGAGTTCATGAATTACTGAGGAATCAGAGGATTTCTAACAACTTAGCTGCACAGCATGACATCCGATGACTAGTTTCCCCACCAGATTTATCTTATTGTTTAGGAAATTTCTGCAGCCAACCTGCAATCACTCTAAAGCAAAAAAGAGAGTACATTTTCTTTTGCTCTTGTGCATGGCCAAAGTCAGCCAGCTCTAATGAAAAGTCATTTTATAAATCATGTTCTATAAATGCAGAAGTAAAATAAACTCATGATTTTTCTTTTTTACTCATTAATGTATCTTCTCAAAAAGGTAAAAAGAACATACTTGAGGACTAAACATATTCTTTAAAAAAATCAGTAAACAGTAAATATCTAATTATTGTTGTTTAGTCGCTAAGTCGTATCTGATTCTTTTGCAACCCCATGGACTATAGCCCGCCAGGCTCCTCTGTCCAAGGAATTCTCCAGGCAAGAATACTGAAGAGGGTTACCATTTTCTTCTCCAGGGGATGTTCTCATCCCAGGGATCAAACCTGTGTCTCCTGCATTGGCAGGCAGATTCTTTGCTGCTGCTGATGCTTATTTAGTTGCTTCAGTCATGTCCAACTGTGCGACCCCATAGACTATAGCCCACCAGGCTCCTCTGTCCATGGCATTCTCTAGGCAAGATACTGGAGTGGGCTGCCATGCCCTCCTCCAGGGGATCTTCCCAACCCAATTAGATTCTTTACTACTTGTAAATAATTTGTGTCTCATAGGCACAATAGTCTAAGAGATTCATTACATATAACTTACATCCCTAAAGAATCCAAAACGTTAGCCATGTTACCAATTATAAGGACCCCAGTTGTGGACCACAGATATATAAAGGAACATCTTCAAGAGTTTTCAGTCTAAAAGAAGTTTCTACCAGAAACCAAAAGTGGTTGGACTAACTTGCAAGTAACATGTACCTCCCAATATCTGCATAGCAAAGAAAAGCATACAAATGTCAACAACTTTAAATCCCAACTTAAACTATTACTGTAAAAAGAATTCCCAGTGTTCCAACCTAGCAGGTTACTTTCACCTTAAATTTTTTATGCCGGAGTTGTTATGTTACATCTGCAAAATTTAGAAAGGTTTAATGCTAATATAATAAAACATGTGAATTTAAAAATTTCTCACTACCAGAATAGTTAGTTCAAGCCCTGGGAAGCCATTAATATTAATGTGTAATCATTACACAGTCTTCTGATACCTCTGTCACGACCCATTAAAATCGACCCTGAGGATAATCTTTAGAGCTGTAACTCATTGTATTTAAAAAGATGCTTCCTGTATCCAGACAAAACTCTAACCCCAAAAGATACACATACACCTATGTTCACAGCAGTACTATTCACAACAGGCAGCACATGGGGACAACCTGAATGTCCATTGCGAGGTGAATGAATAAAGAAGATGGGGTAGACATACACAATGGAATACTACTAAGCCATAAAAAAGAATGACATGATGTCACATGGATGCAACTAGAGATCAGCAAACTATGTGAAGCAAGTCAGAAAAGAGAAAGACAAATACCATATGATATCACTTACACATGCAACCTAAAATATGACACAAATATCCATGAAAGAGCAACAGATCCACAAACACAGACAACAGTCTTGTGGTTGCCAAGGGGGATGGCGCTGGGGGAGAGACAGCCTGGGAGGATGGGGTTAGCAGATGTAAGCTTTTATACGTGGAACGGATAGACAACAAGGTCCTACCGCGCGGCACAGAGAACCATATTCAGTACCCTATGAGAAACCATAAGGGAATATTAAAAAAAAGAATGTGTGTACATAGATATGCATAACTAAATCACTTTGTTGTATAGCGGATATTAGCACAGCATTGTAAATCAACTATGCTTCAATTAAAAAAATAAAAGATGCCCCAAGTGTGGCAGTCAGGCCTCCCAGGCAGAAATGAAACATCAAACAAGGTCCAACGTGCAGTCTTCATCAGGCTTTTCCCGGTACCTTCTCCCCCAGCGTCTCCCACTCACCTGAAGGAGACCCCGGCCATTTCAAACATGAGCCTTGCAGCTGTGGTCTCATTGCTGTCGTGGTATTTATCAGACATGAAAATGACTTCTTTTATCCCTTCAAAGGCAACGATGGAAGAAATCTCATTATGGGCACGCAGAGACACGGCAACAGGCACGCGGAGAGGAGCCCCGGGCGAGCCACGCTTCCTGAGTGGACCCGCACACACCGTCTGGTTACTGACACCTGTGTCTGCTGCTTTCAAATACGGCCGCGGACTGATTAGATGTCATCTGCCCTCCAGTCTTTATGGATTTTTTTTTTTAATAAATGCAAAGTGAAAACATGTCAAATAGTCAAGCCTTGATCTGATTAACAAATTTTCTTTACTGCAGGCAATCGAATATTCTTTTTTCACAAGGCGATGACTCCTTAACTCAACAGGCTAGTGGGGGTGGAAGAGAAGGCTGGCACAATCAGAGATGAGGACCAGCGTGCTGCCAAGTAAGACTCTGCAGACCAGCTCAAGCCAGCAGACCAGTCCAAGGCAAAGGGCCCATCTGGTTTCCTTCCCTGTCTCACTGGGCACTTTGAGCATAAGGGCCAAGAGTCTGGAGGGCACGTGACACATCACCTGCCTCGGAAGGGACACCGGAAGCGGCTCTTCCCACGCACCCGTCATCACCTCTGTGCTTGAGGATGGCAAGGAAAACTCACAGAGGATCATGCACCGCCAGTGAGGAAGCCCACAACATTCCTTAACAGAGACTCTCGATCCTGAACCCCCCAGACCCCTTCTGCTCAGAGATCCACGGGCCTGTAATAAACAGCCCCGTTAAAGCACACATCTGGCTAACATGATAAGTCTTTAAATCTCAAGCCGAGAGCTTTATGGAGATAAAGTGTCGCTGAATCTGAGATGTGACAGTTTGAAAAAGGTGAAATATTCGGCACACAATGGTGCAGATTTATGGTAACCGTAACGTGGGAAAAACCTGAAGTCGGAGCATTTGAGTCTTAACGACGTTTATATGTAGAAGGATGTTTAGGTCCCAAGTATCTACCACATATTAGAGACAAATTAAAATTTCACATAGAGACTCCCAGTTGACCTTGTTTCTGACAGAAGTTCACTTCTCTCCCTCCCCCTAATCTATGCACAATATGTCAGAAAATGGTAACTTGACAGTAAGTATATGCAACGCCTGTGCTGTTTTTCGGCAGCTTGCAGTTTAAGAAGTTGCAAACTAAATTAAAAACATGCTACGAATCACAGAGGATGCAATTAGTCTTAGAATACCTGGCACCGTTCAAAAACAAAACACGGCAAATACCTTGCAAAGTTGATAGTGCAATTAACTGAGATCGAAACAATGGTGATTTAAGATCAAACACATCTGCATTGAGCAGGCAGACATGCAAATGCGACAAATGGGACGGCCCGGGTCCTACCTGCCTGGATGATGAGCTTAGCACATTCATTACACGGGAACAAGGCGACATACATGCTACAGCCTTTCACGTCTGCTGAGTTTTTGTTCATAATGGCATTCAGCTCCGCGTGGCACACTGCGGATTGGAAGGAGAAAGAAAAACTTTAGACTGCACGCTCACGAGGAACTTGCTGATGGTGTTGAGGCATTCCACTTGCCCCTCTGAAATAACACAGACGATAGACTCGATTTTTCAAAAACTGATTAGAGATGGAAAGCACTGAAAAACGAGCGCCACGTGGGCTGACGGGATGGCGATGAGCAGTGAAAACCATTGACCACAGCAGCTCTGGGCCTGTGGGCACCCAGAGCAGCCAGGAGGGGCCAAGGTCAAGTGTCTTCGCCCACTCCACACAGAGCAGGAGCTCACGGCTCCACGAGACCCTGGGGATGGAACTGCCAGCATCATTTGTGTGTTGATAAGCACACAAGGGGATACTTGCCGGAGCTGTTAAAAGGGCAAAGAGCAATTTTAAGAGCAAGAGAATCATGAAGTGAAGCTAAGCAATTCTGTCCCCAGGGATCTGCTGCCCCATATGGTTCTCAGTCCACACACCCTCAAGAAAAAGATCAGTGGATAACCAGCAGTTTGTCATCCAAACGAAAAACATCCATCCACTTAATAACCATGGAAAGTTGAGTTCTTGCTATACAGGTCAGTGACCCCAATCCATGATCTAAGGGCATCCCCAGGCTTGGCTGAGTCCAGGGTTTAGGAGGCCCCCTCCTCTCCTGTCCTGCACCTGTTGCAGCCCACCCATCTTCCCAGCTACTTGGTAAGCTCTTCCCATCACCTAACCCACAGGGCTTAGCAGTCTTCACCACTGCAGTCTTCATGCCAGAATCCTCGACCTGATTTGTCTGGCTGCTGTATTGCTTTCTAATAACATCACTTAAGGTTCTGGCTGCATTATCTAAAATTCTTCTTCTGGTTGTGATTTGCAGATTTGTCTGCCCACTGGAATCCCCCAGGGAGGACACACCCACGTCTGTGTCCCACACCTGGACACTGTGATGGTCTGGGCTTTGGAATTTTTGAGATTCTCTCTGCAGACACATTGAGGAAACACTGCCTTAAAGAATCCTCTCGTATCTGCAGGAGGACCTAACACATTCCAGGCACACCAGTGCTAGATAAATGTTTGCTGAATGAATTACCATCCGGCCCTGGTTCAAATCATACAAAAATCCTAATTCTTAATATGGGGCCTTCCAAGGTCTCCCCCTCCATCTCCAACTCATCTACCTTCTACCCTGAGCACCTTCTTCCAGGAGCTCTGAGGCTGTAAAACTAAGAATGCTGCTTACCAATCGGTTCTACAAGATCAGGTCAGCAGCCGCTGCAGTCACTGACCTGCCGTGCGCCCTGAAAGGAACTCAGGACAGAGCACAGGCGCAGGCACTCTGCTCTGGGAAAGCAGGCAGCACAGGCCCTTAGGCAGTCAGAGACATCTCTCAGGAAAAAATCAGGTACCGATTCCAAGAAAATATTTTGATGAACCCAGATTCATGAATCTTCCCATACTTCAATTCAGTTCATTTCAGCTCAGTCATGTCCAACTCTTTGCGACCCCATGGACTGCAGCACACCAGGCCTTCCTGTCCATCACCAACTCCCGGAGTTTACTCAAACTCACGTCCATTGAGTCGGTGATGCCATCCAACCATCTCGTCTTCTGTCGTCCCCTTCTCCTCCTGCCCTCAATCTTTCCCAGCATCAGGGTCTTTTCCAATGAGTCAGGTCTTCGAATGAGTGGCCAAAGTGCTGGAGTTTCAGCTTCAGCATCAGTCCTTCCAATAAATATTCAGGACTTGGGAAAGCACTAAACTCATTAACTGAGATACCTGTTCCTCATGACTGGCTTATACCGTATGCTGATGGCACAAACTCCTTAGCCAAAATCACGTATACCCAGACCTCCCTCGCCTCTTCAGAGCCGCTCCTCGACCTACCTGAGAGGCTGAATCCTGGGCTACAGTCCTCAGTAAGACCCTGAATAAGATTCAACTCACAGCTCTTACATTCTGTGTTTTTCTCTCAGCCAACAAGGCCTTAAAACAAGAGAGGCCTGAACTCACGGCTCTCGTGTATTTGAGCCAGGGCATGCTCGTTCGGTCAATGCACTTTTGTTTTCTTTTAAATCAGTGTACTTTTACTGAGAGTCCGCTCTGGTGGCTCAGACAAGACACAGACCCCGCTCCACTTCCTCCCCAGGCCTCCCGTTTTCGGGGGACATCCTCAGTGTCCCTGCAAACCCCGCAGCAGCTCTGCAATGCTGCAGGCAGAAAGCTGACTAGGGGCCTCGCGGGAGATGTTGAGGGGCCCTAATTTTAGCCTATGAATACCACAATTTAGCCACGTGTGGAAATGAACAGTCTCTGGCATTGTTAAGAAAATCTAAAGGGGCAAAAAAAAAAAAGCTGTGCTTCATCAGATCACAGCCGGTCAGAGAACAATCCTGGCTGACTGCAGAAGGACGGGAGCCTGGCTCCCCGAGGCTCTGTGCTGGAAATCCCGGGGTCGGGGGACGCCCAGGGCTCTCAGGGCATTGGCCTGGGAGGGGCCCCCTTAGCCCCATCTCCCTCCTGGGTGACCGACACGTTCCCAAGCTGGTATTAACACTGCTCAGTGTTAAAAACAATTAGATGCAATTGTTTCTTTTACTTCCCCCTTGAGGGCAGAGCCCAGTCTTTCAGGTTCTCCCGTAACTCCCCTAGAGCCCAATGTTATGCCGTGAACATAATGGGTGTTAAATATTTACTGAAAGAATAAAGGAGGGAGTTCGGATTCCAATTATTGATGGGGACGTTGGGGAAAATACAGAAGGTCCTCTCAAATTCAAATATCAAAAATATGCTTTCCCCTCTAATGACTGTTTTTTGATGGCGCTGGTATTAATATTCAGAACTGCAGTTTCTGAATCTGTTAGGAAACACTAGGATATGGTCTTCTTTTGCCTCTCTTAGAAACAGTCACATTGAAACTACCTTCCTCTAATTCTTTGGAGGCAGTCTGGGGCAAAATTTGACATTATGTCTGGACTCATTAATGAAAATTATCACATGAAACAGATTCTCTTGGGCGGCATCCGACATCCCTGTATCAAGGGTAGTTTATAGAAGTAACACACAGGACTATAAAACAGACTTTCTGTCTCTTAACTATAAAAATCACAGAATGGAGAATACAGAGCTTCTTGTTAGAGAAACAAGAGGTCTCCCAGGCATTTAAGCGGCTGAGTGCTGGGCACACGTGAGTAAGGAACAAGTCACAGTCCACCATCCTGCATGTTCAAAACCAGACAAGGCAAAAATGAAACCCACATATCCCACCCACGCTTCGCTGCCCTTGCTCACCCATGCAACACTCCAATTCCAGATGCATCCAACACCCGCCCCTGCCACTGAACTCTAACACCTGCTTCTCCAGCCTGCATCTGAGGGTTGAGGGGGGAAGCCCCCTATCCCCGCTCCCAGAAGCGCCTGACACTCAGGGACCCCCCTGTGCCGTCAGCCTGGGTCCCCGGGTCTGAAAGTCTCCCGGCCTGGCTGACCTCTCAGCTCCGCCACCTCCAGGCTCAGTGGCCCGGGCCCTCGCTTCCCCTCCAAAGCTACCCGGGCAAAGTTAAGTAAGTCCCTAAAAATGGTTCTGGGTATAACCTTTATTTGCTGGGTTGCCATGTAAAAAGTTTAAGAAATACTAGTTCATGGAAACCTGTTGACCTCTGTAACATGGTAGTGCATGTTCAGTTCAGTTCAGTTGCTCAGTCGTGTCTGACTCTTTGTGACCCCATGGACTGCAGCACGCCAGGCTTCCCTGTCCATCACCAACTCCCAGAGCTTGCTCAAACTCATGTCTATTGAGTGAGTGATGCCATCCAACCATCTCATCCTCTGTCGTCCCCTTCTCCCTGCTGCCTTCAATCTTTCCCGGCATCAGGGTCTTTTCCAATGAGTCAGTTCTTCGCATCAGGTGGCCAAAGTGATTGAAGTTTCAGTTTCAGCGTCAGTCCTTCCAAAGAATATTCAGGACTGATTTCCTTTAGGATTGACTGGTTGGATCTCTTTGCAGTCCAAGGGACATGTATATAACCAACTATTTTAAAAAAACAAAAACAAAAGCTAAGCCCTAGTGTATAGTACCTGCCGATTCCTGTAGTACAAATACTCCCAGGGCCAATTCCAAGCTCCCAATGTGATTATCGTTTGGGAGAGATGCATAGGGGAGGCTGTGCCCACTCCCCACCAGGCAGCCTCCTCCTTACCTGAATCCAGTCCCTTTCTGGCTGCAATCTCTGGGTTCCCTGCTTCCCTGGCCCCTGATTCTCGATCCCTCTCCCCCCCACCCCCCACCAGCCCTCTCAGCATCACCAGACCCCGTCTCTGTGGGTCTCTGCCCTGCTCTCAGGTTTCTGGGCATTTCCCAAGGTGCAAGCCTGCTCTTTGGTTTTCCTCCCACAATGGTCGACTTTGAGAATTCATCCATTCCTAGATTCTCAGAGAGCAGATCTACTTGCAAAACCCTGAAATCTACATTTCTAACCCCAATTTCCCATATTCTCCGCAGGCTTCTTCCTTGGGAGGCGGGTTGGGGGGCTGAGTCCACTATGATAAACACTCTGCAGATATCTGATGGCACTGTTAAAGGATGCCTTTATCTTTTTGAGTGTTAGCGATTTTATAATGTAGCTTAGGAAGAGCTTCAGCTGGAACTACAAACAGGCCTGAGCACAAAAACCAAGCAAGGAGGATGGTTCTGCTACTGATCTCAAGATGAGCCTGGTTTCCACATTCACTGCAGGAATCAGGACCAAGTATTCCAAAGAGACACAGTGTCTAGGAAGTATTCAGAAGACAGTTAAATTGTTACACACACACAAGAGACTCATTTTCTGTTTACCCAGAATTACTCACCTATGGCTAAGCAATAAGCAAAAGAAGTCTCCAAATACTACTTGTGTATTTGTGAAGTACAAAGAGTGACACAGAAACCTTCAATGATTCTCAACACTGTTAAAAAGGAGAAGAATCAAATGCTGGAAATATCAGATTGATGCTTCCAAAAGTTCTTGATTG